GAACCTAGAGACTATTATGCTAAGTGAAATAAGTCAGAGAAAGACAAGTACCAATAATTTTACTTACATATGGAATCTAATGAGCAAACTAAACTAACAAACAAAATAGAAACAGACTCATAGATACAGAGAACAGACTGACAGCTGTAAGAGGGGAGGGAGGGTTGGAGGGCTAGGTGAAAAAGGTAAAGGGATTAAGCAAATAAACTCATAGAAACAAAAAAAAATTTATTAAAAATTTTTAAATTTGCCCAGCCGGGCGTGGCTCAGCGGTTGAGCGTCGACCTAGGATCCAGGAGATCAGGGTTCGATTCCCGGTCAGGGCACATGCCTGATGTGTGGGCTCGACCAATGACTCTCTAATCATTGATGTTCCTATCTCTCTCTCTCCCTCTCCTTTCCTCTCTCTGAAATCAATAAAGATATATTTTAAAAAATAAAAAAAATAAAAAATAAAAAATAAATTTTTAATTTATTTTTATTGTTGAAAGTATTACAGATGTCCAATTAAAAATTTTTTTAATTAAAAAAATGTATTTCCAAGCAGCTCACTACATTTTGGTTAAATACCTCTAGGAGAAGCCCAGAAATCTGTTTTTGATCAAGTACACCAGGTGATGCTGATGCAGCAGTCCGTGGACAAGCACATGGGGATTACCGCATTGCCTCGAAATTGTGAATATAATGAAACCTCTTGCATCCTGGGAACATAAGAGCAACGTCATTGGAAGCCCAGTAGGGAGGATATTGGAACACACTTTGAATCATTTCAGAAGTTTATTACTATTATCTAAAAGTTCACTATGGAGAATCCCCTTCCTGAAAAGACAGCAAAGTAACAACACTATTGCCTCCTGGAATCCCCAAGTCTACCCCTGAAGATGTTATGTAAGTGAGAAGACAGCGAGCGATGGATCTTGGAGCCTAACTCGGGAGCTCTGAGGAACTGCTAAGAACATTAAAGGGAATTGGGTCCCGATGTGGTGAGGAAAGGAAAGCCTGGAGTCGTAGATTGGCACTGTTGGAGGTAAGGGGTAGAATAGAGAGCTAATAGCTCTGATTGTGCCCCTTTCTACCCACACTGCCCCAGTGGATCACGGCCCACCCGACTCAAAGTGGGCATGAAAACAGCAGGACCAGCCCAGCACCTGCCCGAGGAGGAAGAGTAACATCAACAGAGCTCATGACTGTGAACACAGGTTGGCTTGGATCAGCTCTTTCCTTCTCTTCCTTCATCCTGGGGTCTAGGCACTGCCACAGAATATAGTAGCTCTTGGAAAAGGGATGACAGATGCAGCGGTAACCTGAGGGGCATGTTCTCCACGTGGAAGGGCAGATTGGGACTAGAGGAGCCCAGGTTGCAACACCAAAGGCTTCCTACCCTGAGGCTCACCCGCTCTCCTTACCCATTTCCCCCCTTAAAAAACCACTTAGGCTTTTGATACTCCCTTTTCAAGTATGAATTATAGCTCAAGTTGCTGATATCCCCAAGGAAATATGAGATCACAGGGGAAAATATCACAACATCTGAGGAGTATAATTCCATAAAAAAAAATTTGTTAGAACGCTGGACAGTTTGTACTGAGGAGCAGAACTGATGGACCAAAAAAAAAAAAAAAAAAAGTAATAAATTTTAAAGGAGTAAAAGAAATAACTCCAAAGAGGTNAAAAAAAAAAAAAAAAAAAAAAAAAAAAAAAAAAAAAAAAAAAAAAGTAATAAATTTTAAAGGAGTAAAAGAAATAACTCCAAAGAGGTAAGGGAGAATATTGTGAAACAATAACAAGCTGAAGGTACTGGTAACGAAAAACATATTAATTGAAATGAATTTAGTGGGTGGGCTAACGAAATTGGATACCATCAAATAAGGTAGAAATTAGTTGGGGGACTCTCCCAGAAAGTCTCCAGAAACAATAAGGAGATAGAAAAAATTAAATTAAAAGATATGCAGAGAATCCTGATAACAAAACCTAACAATATTACATAAACATACACAGAAACTCCTAAACAAAAAATTAACTAATGGAATCCAAATATGTATAATAAAAAAATACATTTAGAAAGCTTGCAGGATACGAAATTAATATACAAATATCAATTGTATTTCTATATTCTAGCAATGAAAAAACCCAAAATGAAATTAAGTAAGTCCTTTAAAAATCACATCAACCAGTAAAAATACTTAGGTATACATTTATCAAAAGGCAAGCAAAAACTCGTATAGTAAAAACTACAAAGCATTTTTAAGCTATATTAAAGACAATCTAAATAAATGAGTGACATTCTCTTTTCATGGGTTGTAAGACACTATTGTTAAGATGCCAGTTCTCTCCCAACTGATCTATCTGTTCCACACAATTCCTGTCAAAACCCAGCAAGTTCTTTTGTACAAATTGATAAACTGATCCTAAAGCTTACGTGGATAAGTAGAGTATCTAGAGGAGCCAACCCAATTTTGAAAAAGAAGAGCAGAGAAGAGGACTTAATTATCCTGTTTTAAAACTTACTATCAAGTTATGGTAATCAAGAGAGTGTAGTGTTGGTGCAAAGACAGGCATACAGATCAATGAAACAGAATAGAAAGTCCAAAAATAAATCCTTATATTTGTAGTCACTTAATTTGTGACAAAAATGTCAAGGCAATTCAAGGAGGAAAAATAGTCTTTTCAACAAATGGTGCTTGGACCATGAAATATTTATATGCAAAAAACTCAAAACTATTACTCTGCACTATATGCAAAATTGATCATAGACCTAAATGTAAGAGCTAAAAGTATAAAACTTGTATAAAATATAAAAGAAAATCTTTCGGATCTAGGCCTAGGCAAAAATATACAAATGGCAAAATATTAAGGAGAGGGTTATTGCACATGACCAAAGGGTGCCAAGAACTAGCAAAAGTGATGATGTCAACTTTGTTCTCCACCATCTGAAAGAGGAAACATTAGGCTGTTACCAGGAGGATTTTCAAAACTACTGGCAGAATGAGGAAAATAATACATTTGTAGAATGCTTCTATTTACAGTTATTTCACATACATTTTCTCATTTAATTCTCAAAATAGCCCTGTGAAATAGGTATAACTATTTCTGTTTTACGGATGGAAGAAATTGAGACTCAGTGTGGCAACAGAGATTTAAACCTAGGGGATTTTTCTTCATAAGAGAACACTGCCCAGCTCAACCTGCTCTTCTCAAACAACTCTACAATTATGTTTATACTAAGTGCTCTTACCTCCCTTACTTTACTGATCCAATCAGATTCTTTTCCCCAGACATTTGGAATTAGACAATAGTGCCTCTCCATGACTATGTGCACTGAGGATATATACACCTGTGAGTTGTGGAGTGTTAACTAGGTAATGGAGAAAAGAGACAACTGGCTTTAAAGAAAAAAGAATGAAACTGATTCAGGGAGAGGAGGCCATGTGGCCAGAAGCAAACACACATTCACACTGTGGTAGCCACAGAGATGTGCCACCCAGATCCCCCTTGGAAGGACTTGCTACCCAGCCGCAAGGCAGCCTGCATCAAGTGGCTTAGTGAGGCCAAGTCTAAAGTTAAGAGGCAGTTCTGCTTGGTGTGGGATGCTCTAAATGAAAACGCCTTCTCCAAAGCTAACCATCAGGTTGGCCAAGGCTTTGTCAGGCCTGCATCACAATTTAAATTCTCTCTCTGACCAGTCCTGCTTCTTCCCACTTCCCTTCACAGGTGTTGATCCCTAATAACTCCTCTTTCTGAATAACCTAACGTGAACACATCACAACACATATCCATACAAAGTAAAATTCAGACTTCCATGCTTTCTGGTTCCCGGTTCCTGCCTCTCATGTGGACATAGCTGCCTTCCACTTCCTGGCCTTTACCTTAAGCTGCCTCAAGGGCAAACAAAGGGCTTTGACCAGTAATTTTCTGTTTCAGTACTGCCACTAATAGTCGTGTAATTTGAGCAAATCATTTTCTTTCTCTGCGTCTTTGATTTTTCTTACTTGGCCATGGAGGGGTCAGGAAAGGCCCTTCTAATCCTTACTCTTATAGTCAACCAAACAGTTGCTTGCTGAACCGCCAAAATGGTTTTAACCATCCTTAATATACACTCTCTAGTGACATTTCGGTCTCGGTTAAGATGCCTTCCTAGAAAACAATCCCAGGTTTCCAGCTATTAAACTGAACTCTATCATTTTGACCAAAAAAAACCCCAGCTCCGAAAGCAGTTAGAGGAGCTGCACCAGGATGTGGGCTGTTAGGAAGAATTGAAAGAATACAAGTTCTGGTCTACCGGAAACCTATCGGGATTCCCAGTAATAACAGCCACCGAATCCTGACTTTGTTTCGGTCACGGCCAGCTTATTTCCACGCACGATTCCCTTTGACCTTCACAGTGACACCAAGAGATGTGTAATGCTGTCGCCTCTAGGGCAGCTAGCTGAAGCGTAACATAAGATACTTTTTCCATTTTCAAACAAGATGAGATTGAATCTTTAATACGGATCAGGGTGGGTCTTCCCATTCCGGGACTGTGGTTTAGCTTCTCTCCCCGCCGGGCCGTCCAGGCTCCTAGATCAGAGAGTAGAGCTGCGGTCGC